ATTTTGATTTGAAGCTGTAAATTTCATATATTAATTAGGGATACTTTATGTAATTGGGTTTCTTATGATTTTTAGTTAATGAACAAATGTCTCTCTCAACTATTAGCCAATGAACCAAAAATACTCGAGCTAAAGTTTAGGGCCATCACACTCTTCAGTTTCCAATAGAGTAAAGAGCCAGTTTGGTCCTCGAAGTTGCATAAAAGGGGTCAAATAAGTCCTTATATAGAAGATTCTGTTCGGACGTGCCATTTGAGGCGGTTCCCGGTGGAATTTTTTGAGCATCTTATTCATTAAGTCTAGTTTACTCATACTAAATTTCAGCTAAAAATTCAACCGGGAAGGCATTCAAATGAATTCTTGAAGATAGCTGCGCTTCTAACTGCACAGTTATCTTTTGAATGTCTTCCCGATTGAATTTTTATCTCAAATTTGGTATGAGTGAACTAGACTTAATGAATAAGATGCTCAAAAAATTTCATCAAAAAATTCCACCGGGAACCGCCCCAAATGGCTACGGCCGGATAGAATCTCCTATATATGGACTTATTTGACCCCTTTTATGCAACTTCGAAGACCAAACTGACCCTTTACTCGTTTTCAATAGGTAGGAACAAGAATGTTAATAAAAACAAGGTACATGTTGACAATTGACATAGTTGATGAATGTAATGACTGCCCTCATGATTGCTAATTCACTGTGGGGTAGAACTAATAGAGTGCGGGCTGCACGCCAACTGTTCAACGAAAAGTCTAAACGATGAAAAGGATGTTTTTTCAAAATTTATGCTTCTCTATTAATGGATCATATAGTTCATACTCAGGAGTCATAATGCCTTACTAGACCATATACTTGACCTCATTCTCCTACTGATCATTAAATTACTCTTTCTCACAAGTCACAAGTAATTTAGGGGATTTTTTATTTTCTAGTATACATTTTGGAGATTTAAAAATAATGAAAGTTATGCTTTGGAGTTAAAATTAACAGAGGGTTATATATAGACTTTAAATTTTATTTTGACATATTTTTTAGCCCCACAAAAGATGAATGGTATATATGTTGTGTGAATTGCAGTTGGAGTTTATGTATTTTCCTTACCCATGCTTTTATTCATATGATATACAGATAGTTTTTACTTTAGATACATAAACCAGTTTATTAGTTGGAATGACATTAATTCACTAATTTACTAAATCAACCAATGATTAACTCTAATACTTTCATTTTTTTCTACTTTGACAACTTAATCAGTTCATTATGCTGTTCCTTTAAGTCACAAAACTTGGTATCTTATTGACTCAATTAGTTTCTAAGTTCATTCAGAATGATTTATGCGGAATAACATGCATTTTTTATCCCTTTTATGAACTGACATTAATGTTTTGTTTCCTTAAATTTGAGTTTACTATGTTTGAACTTTCATACTTTAAATATATCATACTTCGTATGTGTATCTTGTATGTTTTTGTTGCAGAAACATATGCCATATGCCATATGTTTGACCTGAGTTGTTTTATGTAGCAGAAATTAATGAAAGATCGAGGTCACTTAACAAACATTAGAAGATTTTTTAGGAACCGAAAAAGGCAAGAAGCGAACCGTTTACATTTTATTAGTTTCCAAAACGGTTATTGATTTTTTTAGTAGAACCGAACTGAATTTAGAAATTATATATTTATAAACCGTTCCGTGATTTTCTAACTCGAACCGAACCGATACCAGGCCTACTACCAAACATGCACTAAGTGTGCGACGCGTTTCCCTTTTTAAAAATTAACTTCAGTCGGCCCGACAGAAAGGATGTTTTTACTTGGAGTATTTTTAGTCCAGACTAGACCTAAACAAACCAGACCAGACCTAAATTTCATAGTTATAAAATCCACAGAGACCTGACATTTGCCAGACCAGGCCAGAATTTCATAGTTATAAAATACACAGAGACTAGGCATTTACCGGTCCAGACCAGTGCAAACCAGACTTAAACAAACTAGTCCAACATTGACAATCTGCTCAATCACACCGAACTCTGTCACTCCGAAACTTGAAATGGAGAATTGGAAAATATACCTAAACAGAGGACAGGAATAGTTCAATCGCTCAGGCAGACGCAATCGCAGTCGGACGGCTGAAAAGCTGAGTCGCCGTCAGTCTGAGGCGGGCTGGAATTGCACCTGCAAACACTTTCTCCAGCCTCCGACATCATAGACTCGGCACCTAGCAGACACAGCCTGAGTCTCGCGGAGAAGGCTGAGAAGCTCGTCGGCAGTACACTCTCACCGCAGACACATAGTTTTGGGATACGTAGAATTTTGGGCTTTGGCGACTCCCTTGTTCAGCAGAGAGTAAGGATGTAACCTAGTAAACACGGAATCATGACCTATATTTGTTTTTATTAGCAAAATTTAGTTTTTAATTCGACGTTTCCTTGTCGTACCCGTATCTTGAATCTTGATATTTTGAGATTTGAGTTTCCCCGTTTCTGTCTCCGTTTCTGTTTCTGACCTGGTGCTACTAAGCGCTAAAGCAGTAAAGCTAGGTACCGGCACCACATCATTCACACCACATATCGTTTGCAATTCTGGACCCATTTATGAAACAAATTTCAAGAAAAGGCCAAGACCGAGCCTAGCTGGATAGGGTCCCTGACTTGAAAGCCAGTTAGAGATCTACATTTCAACTGGTTATATGAGTCTCACTTTATATGAGGCCTCAATCACTTTCTGATGAATTTAGTGACCGTTTCGTAGCCTTTTATATTTCAGTTTTTGTGATCGCTTGTCAGCATTATCAACCATGTTTTTTGCAACACTAATTTTTTGACTTCACACACTGTTACGGACCTAGCCCATACTAGGGGTATAGCAGTGCCATAAGCCCAGATGTAGAACTCACTCCTAAAAGACCAGCCGATTAGGAGGAGGGAACACCTTGCCTATAAGCCACCGGTCAAGCCTAGCCCATACTTGACCGGTGTGGGATCGTAACAATACCCCACGCTTCGAAGAGCCAACGTCCTCGTTGGTCACGGTTGGCACCCCCCAGGGCCCAAGCCACCACTCCATAGGCCACCACTCTGAGTGTTGGAACTAGGAAGATGGGGACGGCTCTGATACCAATTGTTATGGACCTAGTCCATACTAGGGCTATAGCAGTGCCATAAGCCCAGATGTAGAATTCACCCCTAAAAGACCAGCCAATTAGGAGGGAACACCTTGCTTATAAGCCACCGGTCAAGCCCATACTTGACCGGTGTGGGATCGTAACACACACTAACTGGTTAATAATCTGAAAAGCATGACTGAAGAAGTTTGATTCTGACTCTTTACAAGTTAACATCGCTTTGTATCTTTATCTGTTTCTTGGTGATATCTATGAAGTATGAACTGATTTTTATAATTAACATACTATAGGTAAGTATTGCTGGAAGAGGTTTTTTAGTTGCATTTGAATTAATTTTGTAAGTGGTGTATTTCTCAAGGCAGGCTTGAAATACATTTTTGCTTCCTTCCTAACCTCTAAGCTCTAACAGTGTTGTGCTGTTTTCCTCTGTATTATCCCAGATATACCCACTTTTTGCAAATGGTTTTGCTTTTGAATTGAACTAATTTTGGCCTTTTTTCTTTTCAACTGCAGAAAGTAGTTGTGTATATGGCTTTAACTTTGTAAAAATGACTAACATTTAAATGATGTAAAATTAATAAATATTTGTTTGTTGCCAAAAGGAAATGACAAGTGAGTAATTAAAACTTGATTTACTCCATTCTCATAGTAGCCAGATGGAAACTAATTAAAGATTGCATACTACATGTGCAATCTTTAAATCTGGGCTGCATCTAGGACACTATTCGCTATGTGCTAATTGAATGGTTTTGAATCTAGTATGCTTAATTTTGTTTCTTTCCCTTGCACTTCACAATTTGTTCTTCTGTCAGATATGATTACATATTCAGATAATAGGCTTATAGCTATTGAATATAGACATCTTTCTACAATGAAAAATGTATAACAAGTCTATTTCAGCATTAACATTGACATATCAGAGCCTTCTTGTTATGAAATTATTTAGACTTATATTTAGAATGACCCGTTTGTGCAATATATGAATGTTGCCGAGCTGCTATATGATAAGTTAGTTGATTGTTTTGCTTTGTTAAATGAGAGACTGTAAATTGCATATGGTCCGAGTATTCAACTGCTAGCAATTGGCTATTATTGTTCTGTGAGCTACTTACTCATATCTAATATATGTGTTTCTAACCATTGTCATTCTCAGAATGTCAGAGAAGTTCTCGGCAACATTGAGGATTGGGGATTTGAATGATTACATAGCTCCGTCCCAAGGTTGTGTTGTTTCCCTCAAAGCGAATTCCAATAGGCTTGAAAAACTCGAGGTATCTAGTTGCAATTCTAGTTTCTAGGCTTTTAGTCAATTATTGGTGTATTATACTTTATAAATGCCGTGGTGGTGAATTTTCAGTTCAATAAAATGGCGTCAATGCTTGCTACTACAGTTTTGGATTGAATATGCTAATTGCTTTCTTGGGATATTTAGGTGAACTTAGAAGCGGTCAACTATGGTTGAAGGAATGTTGTTTGAAATAGAGTATTTTCTATTTTGTACGGGTTGGCTAACATCTGCACCTATGCACCTGACAAGATGCATTACAATGCACTTATTAATATCTATAAATGGAAAATCTATACAGTCATGCTATCTCGTGCATGGAAATACTCTTTCAAGAAATCATATTTATGTCAACTAAAAGGATATTAAATACATCTTGTCACATGGTGCATAGGACAGATATGAGATATCCCATTTTTAGTATTTAAAATTCAAGATATTTAAGAAAGATCATATGTAGCTTTCAACTCTTGAGCAATATTGCAATATTCTGTTGAGTAAATTACCTTATGCTGTTTATCACCAAATAATATTTTAGATTTATGTGATAATTTGTTGCTTTCAATTGAATCAATTCTTTATGGTGCATGAATAGCTCAGTAAAAGTTGAAGAAGCTCCAAAACCATCTGTAACAAATGAGGCCGTTAAGATTTCTCTCAAGGACTGCTTAGCATGTAGGTATTTATCATCCTCTCCCTACCCATTTGCTTTAATCAGTTGTACTTTATGTGCATTTAGGAGAGAGGTGTATTCTTTGCTATTTTTGGGTTTAAGGTGTCGCAACATGTAATAGAAGTCTATCACATTGTGTTTTGGGCCCTATTGTGATATGTATAGCCTTGTATGGAAGCATTCTTTTTGGGATCTTTGAGCCTGCTACTCTCACAGTTACATATGTATCACCTTGAATATGTTTTTTTGTTCAAAACTTCAAATTGAGTCTTGTTCAAGTATCTGTGTTAGGGACCCGGCCCAATTGTTAGGGGCCCAGCCCAATAGAGTATAATAATAATAAAATGTATAAGTTTAGTATAAATAGAAAGAAGCTGGGGGATAGTGAGGGGGGCTGTTTAAGACTTTGTCATTCGGGACTTGGGAGATCGAGAGTTACTCTCTTTCTTGGGGGGCTTCGGCTCATATTGGGGGCTTAGGCCTGTGTACCGATTACTGTTCTTCTTCATCATCAATACAGTTTTCCAGTTTGTTTCTTGATAATTCTGTATATTTCCTGGAGGTTTCTATCAATTGGTATCAGAGCAAAACGATCTTGTTGCTGGAACGATGGAAAGTTGGGAGCGCTGTTTAGAGAAGATGAACGAAGATACCAGACGGATTTGTGAAGAGAGGCGCAAATTAAGCCTGCAAAGAAAAAATCGACATTCTGATAAACCATCGCACTCTTCGCTTAGGTCGCACCACACTTCGCATCGCTCTTCGGATGCGGACATCGCAAAACCGGAAAAAAGGGGCCAGAGTCGTTCGCGACATACATCGCACTCTGCGCACCACGCGAATCATTCTTCTCATCACTCTCACCAACATAGGTCGCATGGCGACTCTCATCATCGTCGTACGCCACATCCGATTGACTCAGAGGAATCGGAAGAACAAAATCTTAACAGAAAATCTGGAGATCGATCGAGGACCAAGTCGCAGACGGAATCGCAGTCCAAATCGCGAATTTCTTCTCACATGCCGCAATCGCGAACTGATTCTCACCGGGCGCAGAAATTATCGCATCATTCTTCGCGGAGTTCTTTCCATCGCTCGGAGCATACTTCTTCGCATCACTCTTATCACCGCTCTTCAAAGGATTCTCACAGTTCTTCATCTAAAGTTGTTTCTCAGAATTCTTCTAGTTCAAAGAAGGAGAAATTACCTCGATTTTACGAGGAGGAAGCTTATGAATGGATAGAGAAGATGGAAAGATATTTCCGGGTCCAAGTTATAGCAGAAAGATTTAAGGTTGATGTTGCAGTCAAGGCAATGGGGGAAGCTGCAGATGACTGGTTTCAATGGTGGAATTTTCAAAAAAAAAGAAGATAGTTGGGAGGCTCTAAAGAAAGATTTGATTAAGGATTTTCCACCTAAACACCGGCAGAAGACAGGAAGGACAGAAAGGAAAGAATCCTCGAGGGCACGAAGAACTTCTTCCAGTCCGCACTCTAGAACTTCTTCATTCAGTTTGCAGGAATCAACGTTAAGTAGGCAGCGAAAACAGGAGTCATCGAGGTCATCAAGAACTTCTCGTTCACAAGTTTATCCATCAGCGCCAGAAATTTCCCAGTCAACAAAGAGGACCCAGATGGAACCAACTGAACCTGTGATCAAACAAGTGAATAAGAGAGACGAAATCAAGGAGAAAAGACAGGATATTCACGGGCCAGATTATGTTTATTCTAATCTTGCAGAGGGTGTGGATTTAACTTCCAACCAAGTTTCTATTGCTGACAAGCTTATTCAGCCATGTTCCTGTGGAAATAGAGCTCTAATTGCTTCTAAAACGGTTCTTGTCAAAAGTCAACTACCTTTACAAGTAAAGGAAATCTTTTCAGAAAAATTATGCATTGATAAAAATAGATCTGGTACAGAGGCTCAGGAGGAGGAGGAGGTTGGGCTTGTTTCGGGAAAATCTGCTAACATTTTTGGAAACCACAAACCGATTCATGATGCTGATAAGTCTAGTTGCGTAAAGGAGATGAACTGGATGAATGTTTTAAAATCTGAAATGATATACTGTCATTCATTCAACACTTACTTGGAAGGGCTGAAATCATTGAACAAGTTTGACAGTTTCGGATGTGAGGGTATTACTTCTATGATGGATAATGAAAATGGTGTTGGCAGACTTGAGTTGGTATTCTCAGGCACTAAATGTTGTTCGGTTTTGGTGTTTCATCACACTGGTAAAGAGGTTCAAAGCATGAACAGAAATTCTACCAAGGGTGTAGGTGATACACTTCAGGAAGACAAGGCAATACTTGTGGCTATTAAAGGTTTATTAGCTAGTGAAGAAAATGAAAAGGTGAAATTAGAACAGGGTTGGAAAATGGCCAGGTCGTTTAATGGTAATGGAACTGTCTTCCTGCAAGGAAACCAATTTAGGAAGTTTTACATGGAAGATATGCTTTCTTGTTCCTTAATTAAGGGAACTGCAGCCGGAAGCTACATAGAGGAGTTTGCATCCAGTACAATTTTAGTCTCAGGACATAGAAATCATGAAGAACTGCAGAAAAGTGAAGAAATAATTCTTGATGTGGAGTGCGGGAAGGGGACTGAACCAAATGAAGATTCACTGACTGCTGCTAGATATTGGGAAGGAAGAGGAACAAGGAAGAGGAAGAGGAAGCAGAAGATTGTGGTTGTTTCCTATCACCCACCTTGAGGGCAAGGTGGTTGTTTAGGGGGGAGATTTGTTAGGGACCCGGCCCAATTGTTAGGGGCCCGGCCCAATAGAGTATAATAATAATAAAATGTACTACCTCCGTCCCATATTTATCTTCATAGTTCGGTTTACGATGCTTGACTGACGATAAAGCAATTCGATCCCTGTTCACACTCGGATTATTTTTAGTAAATAAAATTTACATATTCAGAAACTACATTAAAACCGCTACAAAGCCTGATCAAGAAAATTTAAGTTTGATAAAAATTTGATATATAAAGTAAAAGATTAAGAGTAATTTGAGTTGACCATGTGAATAGTAACTATGAAGATAATTTTGGGACGGAGGAAGTATAAGTTTAGTATAAATAGAAAGAAGCTTGGGATAGTGAGGGGGGCTGTTTAAGACGTTGTCATTCGGGACTTGGGAGATGAGAGTTACTCTCTTTCTTGGGGGCTTCGGCTCATATTGGGGGCTTAGGCCTGTGTACCGATTACTGTTCTTCTTCATCATCAATACAGTTTTCCAGTTTGTTTCTTGATAATTCTGTATATTTCCTGGAGGTTTCTATCAATCTGCAAGTGTTTAATTTAATAAATGTCCATCATTCAGTGGATGCATTACTTCAGCAGAGACAGTAATGCTTGAGAAGCAGAGCCTAGATGAGTTTCTTTCAAACATAAACAAAGGCAAGGTGGTGGTTGTCTCTCTTTCCCCACAGTCTAGAGCTTCACTTGCTGTCCACTTCAACCTTTCCCCACATCAGGTTAGTTATAAGGATACATATCTTCTCATTTGTCCGGATGGTATCATCGCCACCACCTTGATCCCTGCATGTGTTGGCCAAGGTGTAGCCACAACTTGATACTAGGTTGGTCACATTTAAAAATTGAAAAAATCAAAGGAATCAAATGCATTGAAAAACATAATTTGTAATATTCCAACTCTTTGTTATTTTCAATTGGCTGCTTAGTTATTACTCAGGTTTACGCATTGGGTACTTACAATGTGCATACAAAGGAATAATTCGACCAATATAGGGTCAGAGGCTCATTTGAACAAACCTTTCACTATTTCACACTCTTTTACACTCTAATTTAAAGTATATATACAAAGACTTACATAAACCAGAGTTAGGGTGGCCGAGGTGATGGACAGCCTCTCCCTAGTCCCTAGTCCCTAGCTCTGCCCGTGTATGCTGAGTTGGCTGCCTGAAAGTTATAGTTTCAACCACTTGTCTAAATTAGCTACCACTTGATCACTGTAAAAAAGTATATTGAAAGTACTTCTCCAGTTGTCTTTATTGAAGATATTAATTTATTTAATATCCAGTCCCACAATATTTGTATAGACCCCTGATGTGACCTTCCTCTCCATTCCTACGTGAATGTCAGCTGTCACATACCACATGCATATTAATGCACCACATGTACTTGTCACCCACATGCATATATCTTTCTCTTCTCATCATACATACATGCATCTAATGTATTATATATATGTTGCGTATACTTAATAAAAGGTAACAAAGAGTTTTATCTCTGGATACGAGTACCTCACATATATTTCCCTAATTAGTCCTTATTAATTTTATCATGGTATCAGAGCCGAAATCCTGAAAAACACATCTTAGCCTATATTCTCTTTCACATATTTTTCATTTCATATTTACAAATCATGGCAGTTGGAGATGAAACCAAGGATTCCAGTCTTGATTCTTCCACACTTGTCATAGATTCGATGTCACCATATTTTATTCAATCCGGTGATAAACCCGGAGATATCTATGTTACTGCACTTCTCCGTGATGGAAACTATGGAGATTGGCTCGATGAAATGAGCAATGCTCTTTATGCAAAAAATAAGTATGGTTTTGTCAATGGTGACATCCCAATGCCCAAATCCGATTCACCATATCTCCCATATTGGCAACGGGCAAACGCCATGGTCAAAGCATGGTTGAATAGCAGCATGGAGATTGAACTTAGACAGAGCGTCAAGTTCAAAACAGCTCGTGAAATATGGGTTGACTTAAAGGAGCGGTACGGGAAGGAAAGCGCTCCACGAGCCTATGAACTTCGATGTTCCCTAGCAGCAATTCGGCAAGATGGACGGTCAATATCGGCTTATTTTAGCCAGTTGCGCCGTGTTTGGGATGAGATGGTGTCTATTAACGCTACACCAAGTTGCACTTGTAACGGTTGTTCGTGCAATATTTCTAAACAAATAGCCGACTCTCGAGATAGAGATCGACTTTATGATTTTTTGATGGGACTCGATGATGCATATGGACATCTCAAAACTCAAATATTGGCCACGAGGCCGGTACCAACACTTACCGCTGCATATCACCTAATTTCCGAAGGTGAACATCACATATCCATTGCATCTGCCCGCAAATCAACCAGTGACGGTGTAGCATTTCATATTCAAACAAAAAAGGAGGACGTTCTAGGCAGACGTCCGATCACAAAGGAAGTTCGTTCTTGCTCTCATTGTGGACGAACTAATCACACGTACGAAGCATGTTTTGAAAGAATAGGCTATCCACCAAATTGGAATGTTAAAGTCAATCGCACTGCTGGAGGAAATTTCCGTCCAGCTGGAAACCCACGTTTCTTACGTGAGGGAGATGGCCAAAAACACAAATTTCAATTTGTGAACCCACATACTGCCAGAGAGTCTAAAAAGGTTTCTCCTCATGCTGCACACGTGGACAATGCTCTAAACTCCACTTTTGGTCTCTCCCATGAACAATTATGTCAACTTGCTAAACTTGTGAAAAATGAATTACCAAGTCAGTCACATGAACCCTCTTCCTCGGCTGGTCACGTAAACTTGGCAGGTACTTTGAGCTCATGGATAATTGATTCTGGAGCAACAGAACACATCACGTGTAGTAAGAATGGGCTTATTGATATTTTGTCTCACCCCTCCATACAACCTGTCAAAATTCCAAATGGAGAATCCGTACCGGTCCATTCTATTGGTAGCTTAATATTATCAAATGGACTCCGACTCCAGCGAGTTTTATATATTCCTGAGTTCCATTGCAACTTATTATCAGTTAGCCGCCTCACAAATGATCTCAATTGTACACTCACATTTTTTCATGATTTTTGTATTTTGCAGGACTTACCCTCGAGGAACCTGATTGGGACGGGCCAGCTTCGTGATGGTCTCTATTATTTGGAAACCCCTAAAATCCAAAGTGCGGCAATGTCAGTTTCCTCTAGTCTAGACTTGTGGCATCGGCGGTTGGGGCATGCGTCAGACCAAAAGTTAGAGCATATATCTTATCTAAAAGGGTTCAGAAGAAATGACACCTTTTGTGATCCATGCATGCGAGCTAAGCAAACTCGCTTACCTTTCCCTGTTAGTACTATTAAAACTACTGGTTGTTTTGAGTTAATACATTGTGATATTTGGGGCAGCTATAAGTATGAATCCATTTCGGGTGCACGATATTTTTTATCTATAGTGGATGATTTTACCAGAGGTGTTTGGGTATACCTAATGAAAAATAAGTCAGAAGTTCCCCAACTGTTAATACAATTTTGCAATATGGTAAAAACCCAATTTGAACGGCAGGTCAAACATATACGAGCTGACAATGGTGTCGAATTTCAAACACATGCTTTATTGGACTACTATAGGGAAACCGGAATAATGTTAGAAACATCATGTACTTACACACCACAACAAAATGGTGTAGTAGAACGCAAACACAGACACATATTGGAAGTTGCTAGAGCTCTCCGTTTTCAGTCCGGATTACCAATTCATTTTTGGGGAGAATGTATTTTGACAGCCGTTTACATCATAAATAGACTCCCATCACCCATTATTTCAAATAAAAGTCCTTATGAAATGTTGCTTGGTAAAATACCCACCTATTCTCATTTACGAGTATTTGGTTGCTTGGTATATGCCCGTAATAATAATCAAAAGGATAAATTTGGTGAAAGGGGGAGTCCATGTATTTTTATTGGATATCCAAATGGACAAAAGGCTTATCGGGTTTTTGATTTAGACAGACACGTCATATACACCTCTCGGGATGTAACTTTTTTTGAAGAAATTTTCCCTTTCAAAAGCATTGGAGATACCCGAGATGATTTGGGATCCATTACTGACAAAGTTTTTCAGCAAATATTACATCAAGAATTTACCCCCCCACAATTTAAAGCCCCACCGTCTCGGCCGTACATACATAGAGCAGCAGATGGCAGTTCAGTTGTAGACCCCAACAATCACATGCATTTTTTGGAGCCTATTTTGGGTAGCAGGTCATTCCAGGACAGTAGGGTAGCTTTGGATGGTTGTCACCAGCACCCACTTGAGATAAACAATTCGCAGGAGCAGCCATCTGGCCTGGACAGTCGAGCAACACCTCACGTTGACAGTAGGGCAGATTCTGGGCTCAACAGCAGGATCACAACAGTTGGAGAAATTACTCAGCCACACACCCAGCCACGTCAAAACTTGGAGGCTTCCGCAGGATCCTTTCAGGAGTCACAAACCACAGAAAATACAACCGTTGACCATCCTCAATTAATCACAAATTTGAAAGAGGTAAAAAGAGGAGAAAGGATACGTAAATCTCCTAAACACCTACAGGACTATGAAACTGACATGCCACCGTCCTTAGACCATTCACGGAGCACCGCTCATTCAGTTGACTCAACGGTATATCCTATTTCAAAATTCATTAATTATGAAAAATTTTCGTGTACTCATAAAGCATATTTAGCGGCCATCACTTCTCGTGATGAGCCCAAACATTTCTCACAGGCAGTACAAGATCCTTTATGGAGAGATGCCATGCAAAAGGAGATTAAAGCATTGGAAGAAAATAATACTTGGGTTTTAGTCCCATTGCCACCTGGAAAGAAACTCGTTGGTTCTAAATGGGTTTATAAAATTAAATATAAACCAAACGGTGATGTGGAACGTTACAAAGCTAGATTGGTTGCCAAGGGTTTCACTCAAATTGAGGGAGTTGACTTTCATGAAACTTTCGCACCAGTAGCCAAACTGGTCACTGTACGTTGTCTGCTTACTGTTGCGGCCAAACGTAACTGGGTGGTTCACCAACTTGACGTAAATAATGCCTTTCTTCATGGTGATTTATCGGAGGATGTATATATGCGTATCCCACAGGGATACATGAAAAATGGGGATACTCGTGTTTGCAAATTACAAAAATCTTTATACGGACTACGACAGGCATCTCGGAATTGGTATCACAAATTCACTCAAGCCCTCACTCAAATTGGTTTTCGGCAATCAAAGGCAGATCATTCTCTATTCATTTATTGTCAAGGCCCCGTACAAACTTTTGCCCTCATCTATGTTGATGATGTCATACTAGCTGGGAATAATAGCTCTCATATCTCAACAGTCAAGCGCTACTTGGACACCCTCTTTAGCATCAAAGATTTGGGAAAATTGAAATATTTCCTTGGCATAGAAGTCGCTCGATCTCCAGAGGGTTTTGTTTTGAGTCAACGAAAATATACCCTTGACATCTTAGAAGAAAGTGGCTTATTAGCGGGACGTCCTAGTCTATTCCCTATGGAACAAAATTTAAAACTTTGTCCCAATGATGGCAGCCCACTCGTAGATGCTTCCTCATATCGACGCCTAATTGGTCGCTTACTGTATCTCACGGTTACACGACCTGACATAGTTTACTCTGTAAGCCAACTCAGTCAATTTCTCAGCAGCCCCCGTCAGACACATCTGGATGCTGCTAACCGCATTCTACGATATTTGAAACAGACACCTGGACAAGGGATATTTTTATCTTCTGATGATGATGTGGTCCTAAGAGGATATTGTGATTCTGATTGGGCGGGGTGCCCATTCACCCGTCGTTCTAGTACTGGATACTTCATTACCATTGGTGAATCACCAATATCCTGGCGTACAAAGAAGCAGTCTGTTGTTTCTCGCTCTTCTGCTGAAGCCGAATACCGTGCCATGGCCGTCACAGTTAGTGAGATATTATGGCTACGATGGTTGCTTCGAGACCTAACAATTAACCAGACCGGTCCAACTCCTCTTTATTGTGATAATCAAGCGGCCCGACACATAGCGCTTAACCCGGTGTTTCATGAGCGCACCAAACATGTGGAGATGGATTGCCACTTTGTTAGAGAGCGGGTATCTAGTCAAGAAATCAAGCCGTGTCCCATTTCCTCTGAAGCACAAGTGGCAGATATTTTTACCAAGGCACTCGGCACAGATCGTTTTCAATTTCTTCGGAGCAAGTTGGGTGTTCGTAATCTACACACTCCAACTTGAGGGGGAGTATTGAAGATATTAATTTATTTAATATCCAGTCCCACAATATTTGTATAGACCCCTGATGTGACCTTCCTCTCCATTCCTACGTGAATGTCAGCTGTCACATACCACATGCATATTAATGCACCACATGTACTTGTCACCCACATGCATATATCTTTCTCTTCTCATCATACATACATGCATCTAATGTATTATATATATGTTGCGTATACTTAATAAAAGGTAACAAAGAGTTTTATCTCTGGATACGAGTACCTCACATATATTTCCCTAATTAGTCCTTATTAATTTTATCAGTCTTTGCAAAGGAATCATGAGATGATAATGGCATCAATTTTTAGTTGAAGCATGTGTCTCTGCACACACATGCACAAAGAAGCATGCAAAACATATTTAAATGTGCTATTTTATTTTTCAGGCCTTTAGGAAATTGACAACTTTTTTCAAATCCTTGGGTGTGAATGCTATATTTGATACAAGCTCCAGTCGAGACTTAACTTTGATTGAATCTTGTAATGAGTTTATAGAACGTTATAAGCAATCCCAAATACCAGGTGTGGAGGAATCAAAGTGGCAATTACCTATGATATCTTCTGCATGTCCAGGTACTTTCTTGTGGTACTTGTGTGTCTAATCCCCTTCTGCGTGAATAACTTGTTCTCTTTGATCCTTCGTTGATCCATTGATGTTTTATTATAAATGTTGATTATCTATTAAAACTACAGGATGGATATGCTATGCTGAGAAAACACTTGGATCATACATTCTTCCTTTCATTTCCTCAGTCAAGAGCCCCCAACAGACTATTGGTGCTATTGTTAAGAATTATGTATGCGAAAAACTGCACACTAGGTGATGGGCCATCATTTTATATCTTTAGTAATTGTGTACTATGATGTCTACTGTCCAGCATGCATTTTATTACTTGAGTGGTTTGTGTGCTGTCATGTTCCCTCATTTGATGGCTAAAGTGGTCCACAAAGCAATAGAGGAGCTAAACTTTTCCCCAAATATTAATGTCTGAACAGGCCTGAGGATATATACCACGTCTCAGTGATGCCTTGTTATGACAAGAAACTTGAAGCATCACGCGATGATTTTGTGTTTAATGTGGATGGTGATGGTGAAGAAATTACGGAGGTAGATTCGGTTTTGACTACGGGAGAGGTTTTAGAGTTGATACAGGTTCACCCAATGATTTTACCACTTGTTTCACATTATATAAATCGTTTTGTATAAGATTACATTACTTGTTGAAGTTCAACCAACATCTTTGACCAAAAAGTCAAACGTGATCTACCTTTGCGGATGGTTGTATTATTAGATTTCTAATACATGTTTGTGTATGTTATATGTGAATCTATGCATCATATATGTTAGTTCGGTTCTCTTTTTTTTCCTGTTTTGTTTGTGAGAATTTGTTGCTATTGACATACTTCTATTTCTCACTGCAGTCAAAAGGAATTGAATTTAATGCCCTGGAAGAGTCTCCATTAGATACATTGTGAGTCAGTGTTATACCCTGCACAAGTGTCATTTATTTAGCATAGTCTGGTTAACAATGGAGTGCATTTTTAATCTACAGGCTAACAAATATTGATGATGAAGGACATCTGTATGGAGTTCCTGGGAGCTCAGGAGGATATGCAGAGACAATTTTCCGTTATGCTGCTAAAGAATTGTTTGGGAAGGAAGCTGGATATCCTTTGAACTTTAATATCATAAGGAATTCAGATTTCCAAGAAGTTAGTCTAGAGGTAAGTGATATGTAGCAAAGATGCCTATCATCACCATCATCATTATTATTAATAGTTTCCTGTATAAGTATGACTGTATGAGTATAAGTTTCCTGTGATTAGCAGTTGCAGTTTCGTATAGCATAGATACTATAATATAGCTAATATCCCTAGTAGAAGTATTGTAATAATGAGCCACCAAGACCTTTGGAACTTTTATAAATACAGGTGCTTTATTCAATAATAAATAAGATCTTCAATCTTTTGGACAAATAATTCTTCTTGTGCACTCTGTGAAACAGACGGACTCTTATAGGGTGGGAAGCTGCGTTACTTCTCCAATTACCATACTTTTCAATCTTCTATTTTCCATCTCCCGACCACGCCTGTAACAGTTGTTCATATTTGTAATGGTTATGTAGTTGAGCACGATCTTTAACTGTTAATCAATTTTTATTATATTCAATGTCTAATAATAACAATTTCAGGTGGAGGGAAAAAGTTTTCTGAAATTTGCACGGTGTTATGGTTTCCGAGATCTGCAGAATGTGGTTAGGAAAATCAAAACGGGGAAGTGTGATTATCAATTCCTAGAGATCATGGCATGCCCTTCAGGTTTTTTATTCTTCCACGGGTGCTAGATTAATAATTGTGTATCTGAACTCTTTTATGAAGACCTATGATATTGAGATACAATTGGGGGATCTGATAAACAGGGTGCTTAAATGGTGGTGGTCAAATAAAACCGAGGGCTGGGCAATCTGCAAAAGATCTGATCCAAATGTTGGAGAAAGCTTACATGGAAAATGTATGTAAATTGTTTGCACCTGTGTTATAACCTTGAATATTATGGTTGTATATATTTATGTGCTTTGCCCATATTTTGGTTCAGTTATATAATTGATTTTAACCCCCCCCCCCCCCCCCCCCCCCCCGCATAGGCTCTGCTTAACCTATGATAATCAAGTATTCAAGGGAATGGAACTATACAAGGGCAATAGCCAGAGCTCCTAAAAATTCTGAGATTTGGAACATGTGCTCTGCCATAAAAAATATATCATCATATAAAGTTTTGTTGTAAACATTTTCACTTAAAGATAATGTTTGTTTATCAAACTGGAGTGGGTCGAAGCCTGGTATAGACCAACAAAGAGAGTTAAACTTGGGCGGAGATAAAAGAGAGGCTTAAACCCCAAAGAACCTCTTGTGGTTATATTGTTCAGAATAATTTCATTTTTTTTCAATTATATAATGCGAGAAGAAACATATTTGCTCTTGAACTGTATGATTATTATGATAGAAAACATATGAACTCCTCAACATTTTGAGGAACATAAAAGTTGTAGAGTTGGAACGAATATACTGTTGAACAGTACAGAGTATATCATAGAACAGACATATCCCTTCAGGTATTGGACATAAGGGTTTATTTGTTCCAAGTTTACAATTTTTGTGTTAAAATTTTCTAAAAAGAAGTTGAAAAGTAATATTTTCTCTCTTACATATTCGAGGGCATATTTGTTTCTTATCCATTATATATATACACTGAAAATGTTACTTGTATGAGCGTTTCATTTTCTTTTGTATTAATATGGAAAGTGAATAACTTTCCATATTAATAATTTTATTTTACTTGATATTTTCCGGGATCCATATTGGTTTTATTATTGATAATCTATATAAAATTCATATATACCCTTAATGTGTAAGTCTTGGTAGCCAATCCATCAGAGAACCCCATCATTAAGGGACTGTATAACGAGTGGCTTGAGCGTCCTGGTTCAGAAAAAGCCAAGAAGCACATTCACACCCAGTACCACCATAGAGTTAAGAGTATAACCTCTCAGTTGCAGAATTGGTAGTGATGATGAAAGGTAATATGTCACTGTCTGTCTTTGCTTGTCATTCAACACAATTTTGGTAGTAGAAGTGATATTCAGAAACCGTTCTGCACTGTAAATATCTCACTTCATGACCCATCAAATTTTCTGTAATATATTTGAGTTATAACTTATAGGTATGTCAGACACGGTGAAACTGTGTGTTCAGAAGTATTGATGGCAAACGTTAGTATCTGCAGTTGCATTAAAGTTAGTCTTGTGTGTATGTTGTGTAGTGATTGCTAAGATTACTCAACCTCAACTATTCAGATCATGGATTGGAGTAGATATCTTCATTTCTTTCGTGGTTGCTTTAGTCTTTAATAAGCTAAAAAAATCAACATGGAGAACCTATAAAGAAACATTTAGAGGGCTTGGGGGGTGGGGTAAGAAACACTACTCAGACCATTCCTTTCCATTTTCTAAAACTCTCAAACAAGAGGAAAAGAGACATAAGCTCTCAATTCACTTCAAAAGGCAAAGTCCAAGCAGACCCTCAGAGAGAGGCTAAGGTTCTGAAATTGGACAACTATTATAAATAACTTTGCAATTACCTGCTTGTTTAAAAATAAGGTATGATGCGATATATTGGTCTGAATCTTGAGTGCCAAGGAAGAATTGCTTGGACAGTTTGACCTACTTGCTATGGAAAATACCCTCAAACATATTTGAAGATGATAACAATATGGGTAGTGGATAAATGTACTCCATATTTATGTAAATTATAAGTAAAAGTAGATTCGGATATAGAGCTTTCAACAGATGAAACTAGTATTACAGATCCTACAACTGCTTTGATATTTATGTGCATTCCAAGTTAACTATTCGGTTGGTCCTCATTCTTTGATGGTGGGACTTCAGTTTCAAGTAAAGACTCCCAAGGATTATTTCAGCCTTTCCTTTAACCTTTCATGTTTCAACTTCTTCCATCCCGGGAAAGGCGAAGGTGAGCAAAGCAAAAAAGTATCTGATCTCAAAGTAAAATCAGAGGGGAAGAAAGGGTAAGCAAGCAATATAAAGTGTTAACAGTCCGCTTTTGAAAAAAATGCAGAATAGACAGCTATCGTTGGTCATTCTGTCGTTTCCTCCACATCTAGGGAGGTAGATATTGATAATAATCAATGAATCTGATGCAGCATTTAATGGTGGATTCGGGTCGGGCCACCCATCCCGTGGACCGGCCCGACTTGCTACTGTGCGGGGGGACTGGGACCGGCCCGGTTCTCGGGTCCGGGTATGGATGGACTCGGTATGGCCCGGTCGGGCCTCCGGTCCTGGATTGGAGGGCCCGGAACCGGCCCGTGTAACTGCCGGGTCCGGGTCGGGCCAAACTGGGCCGGGCCTCGGGTATTTGTTTTTTTGCCTTTTCCTAATTAACCCCCTCCCCCTCACACCCAAACCACCTCAAATGGCCCAAAATACCCAGGCTAATCCAAAAACTTAAAAAGAAAATCAAAAAAAAAATTAAAATTAAAATAGCCCGGACCGGGCCCGAACCGGCCGGGCCGGTTCACGTTTTGAGGGGCCCAAGCCTGGACCGGAACCACCCCGGGTCGGGCCTACCCGGACCGGTCCATGATCGGGCCACCGGGCCGGAACAGTGGCGGGCCGGTTCCGGGTCGGGCCACCCGGCCCGAGTCCACCCATAGGTCCGGGTCGGGCCTAGGCCCGGGGGGTGCGGGTCCGGGCTCGGGTCTTACGTTTGGCGAACCGGCCCAGCCGGGTTGGGCCCGGGCCAAATTGATTTTTTCCCCCATATTTTGGGGTTCTACCCCGGGTTGGGCTTGATGGTTAGGAGGGGTTTGGGGGGTTTGGGGGGTGGGGGGTTAGGAAAGCCAAAAAAAATAACAAACCGAAGGCCCGGCCCGGTCCGGCCTGGTCCTGGTCCTGGTTGCTACCCGGGCCGGTCCCGGGTCCACCAATTCTGAACCGCCGGCCCGCCCGGGCCTAGGCCCGACCCAGACCCGGCCTGAATCCACCCCTGGCAGCATTATATAGGAGGAAGAAACTAATTAATTAAGCTGATTAATTACGAAATGAGATTCACATACAATGAGAGACAAAGGATGCGTTGTTTAGACGAAGGATGAGACTCATTACAATTAACTTGCTATTTATGAATGGTGATTTATACCATCAACCACATAAACCATTTTTTATTAATTTGTGTCTCACTTCCTCTTGTCCCATTGTTAGGGGGACGGATGGTGTATTTTAATTTATAGTGATGTATGTACACAAAGAGTAAATATCCAATAACATTTAAAAGATTGAGCTTAAGTTTTAATTTGTTGAATATATGTAATTTTAAATGTTTAAAAATGAATGTAAAAATTTCTGAGTAAGTAGGACATTAACTCAAAATTATGAAACCGACATTAACTTTATTTAAATACTCCCTCCGTATCTATTTATTTGACCCACTTTCCTTTTTGGGGCGTATCAAAATAAATGTCTCATTTCTCTTTTTGGAAATAAACCGACCCAAAAAGCAGCTACAGTACCGCTACAGTACTGCTATAGTATCGCTACAGTACCAAAAACCTCCTACTTTACATATATTTGCCTTAAACTACGTGAAAAAGCATACAGGTCAATTAAATTGATACGGAGGGAGTAGGACATACCACACTTAGATATGGAGTAAAAAAACAATACTAGTATATACTACTCCCTCCGGTTTTTAATAAACTTCACACTTTCCTTTTTGGGATGGTCTAAAATAAACTTCACACTTCCTTATTTCCTTTTTTGGCAAAGAAATCTACATCAAAACAGTGTCAAACAGTATCTCAACAGTGCCAAACAGTGTCTCTACAGTGCCAAACAGTGTCAAACAGTGCCTCATCAGTGTACTCTACAATAAAGTCAAATTTTTTTCCTTATTTTGTGTGAAGTCAAAGTGTGAAGATTAAATAAAACCGGAGGGAGTAATATACAAGGACGGGGGAAACATTTTTTAGCAAGATCACTTTGTTCATGCCTTTTGTGATAACCTTTTATTGATTACCTTTTTCACGTTTTTACACTGTGCAACTGGGTTTCTCCATTGTCTTTTATATACTACCTCCGTCCCTTAAAATTTTGTCAAGTTTGACTGACACGAGGATTAATGAAATAAAAATTGTATGGTTGAGTTTTGTGTAGAGGAGAGAGAATTAACTTGAACCACACACTCTTTTACTTAAAAGGGAAAGTGACAAAGTTAGTGGAACATCCAAAAAAAGAAAGTTGACAAAGTTTTAAGAGACAGAGGAATATATTAATATACTAGTGTTGAAGTATTTATAAATACGTAGTACATGTTACTAACTAGTGTGTGATAAAATGTACTAGTGTGTGATAAATAGTTAAATACTAAATAGTTCAACACATATTAATCTGACTTACACAATTTTATAATAAGCCAACTCAATCCGCATGTCAAATCTGCTAATTGAATCTTCCATCAATGTTTGACACAATTCTCTAAATGCATGCTGATTTCCAAGTATGTCCTAGACATACTTGATCTCCAAGAAAACTTGACAATTTCGTATAAAATTTTATAATTCAACATAGTAAATGCTTTCTTTTTTACTTGATCGCCAAGAAAATAATTTTGACATGTTTATAAAAGAAATATGCATGGGATTGATTTGTCACGTGGGTGATTCCGATTAGCAGGCAGTCAGAGAACATTATATTAGGAAGATCGATCACCATCACTATATTTCCTTCTCGATCACTTTAGTTACAGAATATTTGACTATTTCCTTCTTGACCACTTCAGAAATATTTGACTTAAAATGGGAATAACAAGTCACCTCATAAACTAAAAGGTTTAAAAAATACCATTCTAGAACACTATGATCGATCCTTGATATCGGTTTCATTTTTGTTCTCATACACTGATGGACACGTGCAACTCATCACACACAATAGCGTAGATGCATATCCATATTGGGCTGAGCAGCTATAAAAAGTTTGTGGAAAAATTTAACACAAAATACTTTACTTTAATATTTTCGATTTTTTTTTAAATTTAAATTTATTTTTGATTTTTTTTAAATTTAAATTGGGTCGGGACTTAAGTTGGCCCCTAGCTACATCCATGATTACATATATGCACGAGTCCGCTTAATTACTGCGCAAGACATAAACAAAGTGTGCATAGGCCCAGACCACCCCAAATTAGAAAAATATCTTAGTTTTTAGTGCAATTAATTTAGTGTAAATTATTTTTCAAAAATATTCTTCGTACCGGTCCAGTCAAACCCAGTGCTCTGACTCCTTTTTCTTCCTTCTTCTAAACAGCTCACCGGAAAGTTCCTCTATTGGGCTGGAAGGCGCCCAAAAGTGTGTACTCTGTATAACTCCTTTTATTGAAATACGTAGTATATAGGACATATTCACTCTTAATTGAGGGATTAACTCATATTTGGTGTACAAGTCTTTTGCAAATATTTTTATACATGTTATCTATTTATGTCTATAGAGTCAATTTTAAGAAATACTTGTGTACACAAGTAAATAGTGAGGGTACACAAAACGTCTATGAAGGTAAATTTTCATTTCTAAAAACGTTGGTCCGCATATACGTAGTATTATCTCTTTTCTTAATTAAGTGAAACATGTTGAATTTTACATTATTCGCATGTTTTTACTTTGATTACGTTTTATTTATTAATGTATTACTCCGTAATATTTTTTTTGAAAAAAATATAGTAAAACTTGTCTCATTGTAAATTTTCAAAATTTGTTTTTAATGGTTTTACTAATAGAGAATTATGTATGTTAATTATCAAAGTTGTGCATCGACAAATGTGGAAAATTGACCGTTGCACCCATTTAAGATATTATGTACGTGGTATAAAAGTTATAGCCTAGCTAGCTAGGGTTTAAAATAGAATTTATACCTATATCTAATTAAGATTCTCCTATTTATTTTTAGCCCCGGGCCTAGCTAATGTTTGACTAATCCAATTCTTGCACTGACTTTATAATAGGCCGGTCACACATTTTAATGAGACACGTGATACTAATTCTCTTATTTCGTTCTTATAATTATATTCCTCTCCAGATGGAAAAGTCCGAATTGAGGAAGAAGGTAATAAGAACCCACCCGATATAGTATATAAATAACCCAAGGCCATAAATATTTAATCACAACCGATCACTATAATTATAACTTGTGAGTTAGAAATAAGGGAAAACTGTCAAATAGGTCCTCGAACTTTCATAAAAAAAATCAATTAAGTCCTTTTATAGGAGACTCTGTCCGGTCGTCGCGATTTGGGATGGTTCCCGATGGAATTTTTTGATGAATATTTTTGAGCATCTTATTCATCAAGTCTAGTTTACTCATACCAAATTTCAGCTAAAAATTTAATCGGGAGCCATTCAAATTAATTCGAGAACGCAAAAATGCGCAGTTATCTTCAAAAATTAATTTGAATGTGTTCCCGATTGAATTTTTAGCTGAAATTTGGTATGAGTAAACTAGACTTGGTGAATAAAATTCTCAAAAAATTTCATCAACAAATTCCACCGGGAACTGCCCCAAATCGCGACGGCCGGACAAAACCTCCTATAGAAGGACTTAATTGACCTTTTTATGAAAGTTCGAGGACCTATTTGACAGTTTTCCCTAGAAATAAAAAAATGGCTATTAAGACTTATGCAAGGACTGCTCCTTGTGAAACTTGTGAGGGGAAAATGGACATGACGCTGGAAGAGTTCAAGAAATGGATATGGAAGTTCGACGAAGACGACGACGGGAGGATCAACAGAAGTGAGCTCCGGGAAGCCATCCGAGCCGCCAGCTTGAGGTTCTCGTGGCTCAAAGCTCGCCAGGGGATGAAGGCCGCCGACGGGGACGGGGACGGCTTTATCATCGACGGTGATGAATTTGCCAGGCTCGCTGCTTTCGCCCAAGCCCATCACTTCAATATCCGCATCGTCAGCTATTAATTATATTGCTTCCTAATAAATATTTGATGAGCACTTTATAAATACTATCGTTTAATTCATTTCGGCCATTATTTGCATAATGATGGCTTAATTTCGATATTCATGCATGTTTGTATATACTCCGTAAATAAATAGATATATTTATGTATCTGCAATCTGTGTTTATGTATAAGGCCAAGGGAAGCAAAGCTCATTATCTTAATTCTTAAAACGTCAATTTCCTATAACGAGCACTTTTTATGACATAGCATCATATCTAAAGAATTTTTCCACATTAATCAGTTAGAATTTGATACATTACTCAAAAGTGTATTAAACGTCAAGAATAACGAGCACTTTTTATCACATATCCAATTTTTGAGTTGAATGATAAAAAAATTCACTATTCATTGTTGCACTTTTTAGTCACTATAATTAATGTTCGTTTATTGGAAATTGGAAATTTATCTTTTTATCACAATCTACGATATCTCTACACAATGTTATCAGCCAAAATGCAACAATAATGAAGTGGAAAATTTTATCATTCAACTCAATTCATGCATGTTAATATGTTATCAAAAAAGCTAAGAAAGGACTCCCAAAACATTGTATTGGGAGAAACTGTTTCATTTGTGTTATCAATCGACCTCAGAAACCTATTCTGCAACTTCAGTGGGAGGATCCCCAAAACTACCTATGGATTCTCAATATAATAAACATCACAGTTGTGTTATGGGGGGTGGGGGTATTAGAGATACTCCCTTCGTCCCATTTGGCCATTTATATTGTCCCATTTTACCTTTTCGAGAAGTCTCACTTAAATTGTCACATATCATATTTGTCAAAGTTTGTGTGGCTCTAAATCATTCTTATTTTATTATTACTTTATCAATTAATATCAACCACACAACCCAACTTTTCTTAATAACTGTGTCACCCTCTTCCGGGACAATATAAATGGGACGGAGGTAGTATAACATAACGGTTTCCGCTAAATTAAACGTCATATTCTAATTCACTTGAGAGACAAGATATTCCAAAGCATAATGTAACACCAAGTCTAAACCTCTTGGATTCAGTATGAAAAAATATTGATATATCTAGAAGCAACAATAAACATATTTTTAATAAACGGAAAGATACCGACTATTCCAAAGCAAGCATTTTTTCTCATCACCCTCCCTCCAACTCACTTCATGTGGCAAATCAAAACTTTCAACGTAGAAGCAGAGAAGGCCATCATAATCATGAAATTTAACATCATCTGGTACAAGGAATATCTCATCTAGTTTGTCTTCTTTGACATCATACACACATGTTCTACGGAAATAACCAAACCTCATAAATACTTTCCCATTTTGGGACATAAATTTGAGCATGTCAACGTCTCGCCGAGCAATTCAAACATGGAGATGGCAAAGGATGCCATCCAAGACTCTGATTTTCCATATTCTTTCATAATTGACACTTGGAACACTTGCCTCTTTTCATCCTTCCTTGCCATTGAGAAACATCCATCTATGATTCCCGTACCAACTATAGAATCTTTTTCTTCCATATTAATCCGTGTAGGGGAGGGCAATATTTTGAATGCGTCATCAACCATATCGAAATAAACAATCTTATTGCACCCAACATAATTGTCCCATAACCTATAGTCACCATTAGAATCATGGTAATCCCATCCCTGAGAAGTTTTTATGTCACTTACTATCGAGTGGAGTGTATTATTAAAGTTGACCCCATCTCGTGAAGTCATATAGTTATACGGAAAGGACACTTGTCGCCACCCTTTATTTTTCAGGCTTGAAACCAAAGCAAACTGACCATCACACTCTGGGTAGTGGTGACCAAGTAATAAGACAACATTATGATCTGACGTGGAGGGATCATAATAAATCCCTCCGACCACCTTATAGTGGATACCTCCGAGTCTGTGAAGCTCAAGAACTTTGGTAGACCAGCTCGTATGGGGGTTCCACAAAAATATTTGTTCTCCAATGTGTAGAAGAACAAATCCACTCCAAGAACACAAAACCTTCAACGTATAATCATGACCAAAACAACGTCGTAAGCCTTCATCTTCGACGGGTTTGGTAAAAGGCAAATGGCCTGTAAACTCGAATAGTCTTTCACTGCAAAAATCAAGGCTTATTGATCTAACTTTCCTAGGGTGTCCTTTCTCGTTTGAGATAATTACCCTAGATATGATTAAAACTCAATGAGTTTCCCAATCTATGACCTAACTAGTTTTCTTCCCAAAATAATTATAAAATTCATTATATTCTAATTAAATTCGTAATTAATAAATACTAAATAATTTTGAGGGGACAAATATACCCTTTAGCTTATACCTATGAAACCCTAGTCTCCCACTCTTATTTTGCAACCCTATATAGCTACAACCTCCCAACGTCCTCCTGTGCAGACGCCCCACCGTTCAACCACTGCCCGTCGTCTAGCCGCCGCCCGCCGTCCAACGCCGCCGCCCGCCGTCCATCGCCGCCGCCTTCACAGATGATAACCGCTTTCGCGGCGTTGTAGTAAAACGGAGTCTAACCTTTCGGTTTTTCCCCGAGTGTCGTGTCTCTTGAGGAATGGCGGAGAAGTTTCTTAATTTAATTTTAGTCACGGGCTATCGCTAATCGTTGGAAGCTTTTTCAATATAGGAAAGTGATTTTGTTCTATATTATGCTAAATTATAACTAGGAGCAAGGTGCAATTTAAAGATTAATGTATAAAGATTGAATATTCAAGGCTGCAAATAAGGGCAATGAATTGAGTAATTAGAAATGGATATGTTCTTGGACCTCTTAATTAGGGAAATTAAGACTAAAGTTGGACTAATAATTTCTTTCCTCATAGACAAGAATAGAAACTATCTTCATTAATTTATCCTATTTCTAGGTGTCATTAATGTGTTTAAAATGGTTGGCTTAAATTATTTTCTAAACCCATAGACAAGGTAGAAATAATTTTCCAATATTTTAATTAATAAAAATAGCCAAATTCATTAACTAGTTAAACTCTTTATTTTAGCAATTGAATTTATTTCTCATAGACAAGATGTAAATCCTTTTCATTAAATTATCCTATTTCTAGGCCTTATTAATGTGCTCTAATATGGTTGGCTTAAATTAATTTCTAATCTCATAGACAAGTTTGAATTAATTTTCCAAGAATTTAATTAATGAAAATGGCTAACTATTATTAATTACTATTTCATCATTTTAAACAACTAGTCCAATTTATTAATTTTAACCCCTAATTTTAGGTCAACAAGTCAATCCATATTCCTTTACTCAATTCATGTCCTAACAAATTTAGCTACTCATCATCATTTTTGCAATTAACAACATAATGATTAAATTCAACATTAACAAGGAATTAAACATGTATGATAGCAAACATTAAAAAAAAAATTATATTATTGCACAATAAACTTGTAGGAACTAAAATATAACTTTCTGGAATTTTTCACCAATTTTTGAACCTAAAATCCAATTTTAACAACTAATTGATAATTTTCCCAACTTTAACTAGAAAATGCAAAAAGCAACTAAAAATACTCTAAATTCGTTATAAATTTTATTTTAACTACTGGTGGTGATATAACAATGAATTAAACTGAAATTAAGGCCGAACTAATTTTTTTTCCTTTTTTAAGTATTTATTCTAAATTATGAACTAATATCAAATAATTACCGAAATTAATTAAAAATTACTTCTACTTCGTGAAAAATTAATTTCTTCAGATAAATAACTACCTTGAGGCTAGTGAACAACTATATAATTAATTGGAATGAATTCAACAACAATAACTATTTTATTTAATTTTTGGAAGGAAATGCGAAATACTTGAAAAATAATCTGGAAATTTTCGAAGAACAGATCGAAGAAACAAAGCACAGATTCAGATTCTACACGTTGAGAAGATGAAAATACATATAAAGAACTTACAATTTGGAGCTAAAATGAAGAAGATATGAAGATTTGAAGTTTCTCTCTCTCTAAAACCTTTGGAGCTCGAAAATGGAGGAAGAAAGAAGGTGTTTTGAACTGATTTAGGGTTGGAAGAGGTGTGTTTTAGTTCAGCAAAAATCGGGCTATTTATAGGACAAATTTTCCCGTAGGCGCCCAAGCAGGCGGCCGCCTTCCGTCGGCATCTGGCCGCCTGCCGTAGGCGGCCAACCAGGCGGCCGCCTTTGGTCTCATTTTGGCCGCCTTCCGTCTAATCACCGGCAGACCGGATCCGGCGAATCCCGGCCGCCGCAGGCGGTCCAGCAGGCGGCCGCCTGCCGTTCCTGTCTGGCCGCCTGCCGTCGATTCTCACCGGCCGGTGGTTGGTTTCGTCCCCTTGTGCCGCAGGCGGCCACCGAGGGCGGCCGCCTTCTGCCTGGTGTCGGCAGCCTTCGGTCTTTTCCTGGTTCCGAGTCAAAGTGTAGGTTGACTTTTGATTTATCCGAAGGCGGCCAACCAGGCGGCCAGATTGGGGGCCTTTTTGGGTGCCTTCTGATAAATTTGTCTGGCAGATGCGGCTTTTCCTGCTCTTCAACTTTGTCTTCTGAATCACCTTGATATAATGCTTGCTTCTTCCGGTATGAATTCATTTGTTACTCAAATTGACTCATTTTGTGCTCAATTGACCCGAAATTCCGGCAAACATATTATGAACGTGGTTTTCACCTGATTTCATGAAACTTGAACCAAAATATATAAAATGTGCCTTGTTTTTCTATTTTTCAATCCAGAATCGCTTAAATTTGATAAGAAAAATAAGTACATAAATGGACTTATCAACAGATCTGAAAGGCGCCGTCCATCCACACGCCACACCGCCGCTCATACCCTTTCACAAAGTTTTCACACACTTTTGATGTCGTTGACTACTTAGGCAGTTAGGCCTTGAGCACCGTCTGGGAAAGAGGAGAAAGCGAGCTACCGATGTCCGATGGACCGCCGTCGAGAAGAATTTGTTAGTCACGAAAGAGAAATCCACGTCAAGTTTCCACTTTCGGGGAAAATATTCGGTGCCCTAAAAGGCCCATGTGGATCCTCCTGCTAGTCATATGCATTTTTTCCTGATTTTGTTTCAATTTTTCTTGTTTGATAGTGACTGGATGGGGAAAGACGTTTAAACAGATAATTTTTGGACAGAAAATTAAATCGAATGATGGCTATGGAATAATGGCTGTACAAACGGGGTTCAAGTCACGGGACTTCCTCTCTCCTTGCTTAATTTTTGCATTTTTGAAAATTAGGATTTGTAGGCATGAGAAATCAATACAGGAAGTGAACATGGGAATAGATCGATGGTATTGTGGCATTAAATATGGACATTGAACATTAGCCGTGAATATGACAATAAGTGTTTAGTATGACATGGCAGTGAATGAATGCATTAAGAATTTTTGTGTGTGCAGAGATATCATCATGAAATGCAATATATACTTATTACATCTAAAACAATAAAAAATAAAAAATAAAAATAAATTCCTCAAGTGAATGAGAAGAGAATTAATTTTGGCGGAAGTGCATTGATTATTATCCGATGTGCACTGAAGTCGTGCAGTAACGACAATATATAATGCATTAATTTTAATTGGATGAAATGAGTGCAAAATGCACATTTTTTAAACAAGGTTATTCTAGTGATTAAACTTAAACATTTTAATATGAACGATTTTTTTTTTTTTTTTTTTTTTGGGATTTTCGGTCATACAAAAGCCTAAAAACTAAGTTAGTCATATTTAGAGAAACTTGATAAGTACGTATTTTGACACGTATTTGATGCGTGTTGAGATCGGATTTTGATGATTTTCCTAGTTTTAAGGTGTTACAAGTCTCAAATTTAGCTCAAGTTATGTTTATCGGGCATTGGTTCGAGTTTTGTGTTGTTTGTAGTCAAAATCAGGGAATTTGAGCCCGGTACCCGGCACTTGAGGAACAATCGGGATGATTTGAGAAGCATTTGAGAATGATTTGATAGCTTTGGAGGTCACCGGAAGATTCACGATGAAGATTTGAAGGAAAAAAGAGCTCTAGGATTGGCTTCAGGATCAAAAGAAGATGAATGAAGCTTGAAAACGACGATCAGAATGACCTTATGTCAATCGTTCAAGCTTATCTCTTTGTAGGAACAACCAATGGTCTCGATTCAAGTTCCATAGGAAAGCCAACTTCAAGGGCTACAAATCATATGAAGACACCTTTGCGATAATCTGAGAGGAAGAAGGTGAAAACAGACGATGAAGTCAGATGATCTCTGCTGCGATTTCAGAAAGACACCTTCCACCGTTTTGATCACATCTCTTGATTGGATGATTCAAATCACATTCGGCAAATTGGGGTGGATAGAAGACTTCATTATCTACAACTTTCATGAAGAAAGCATTGCCAAATTCGGAAGTTAAGTAGGCACGATCGTGCCCTCAAAGTCAGACACGATCGTGCGTGAAGAGAAAACACCGCGAAGCTACTGCCTGCCAGGCACGATCGTGCCTGGAGGGAGACACGATCGTGCCTGCCCAAAATGCGCGTTTTTGCTCCGGAGGCACGATCGAAGGCACGATCGTGCCTGACATCGTGCCTGGCTCCGAAAATCCAAATTCAGCTCAAATTTCACCCGATTTTTCTATTTTAACAGCCTGTAAACCCCCGTTTTCAGGGGGGAGCTTAGAGGGGGGGCCTAGCACGAATTTTAGAGGGCTTTTCAGCCTTGTTCATCAATCTTTTGGGATTCTTTGTAAGTTCCACCTTTTTAATTAATGACAATTAATTCTTTTTATTCCAATTCTATTGATTCTTCAATTATGAATTGTGAGTAGTTTTAATTAGGGATTTGGGATTGATGAAGGGGTTAGTCATGATGTATGGCTAGATTCTTGTCGGTTTAATTGCATGAATGCCGTTTAATTTGTGTTTGAATAATTTAATTGATATCTTTTGTAACCTAGAATCGCGACTAGAATTACAATTGCATGTAGAATAAATTAAGAGAGATCTAATTTGTTCTAGGACACATTCACACACACTTAATCGTTCGCTAAGAGATTAGTAGCGATTAAGGGGCCGTAAGCTCGCTCGTCTTGGCAATAATTTAGGATCCTGTCGCATGAGAGATCAGTCTGGTCCCCTAAATTATTGTACTCTACGCCGCGAGAGCGGTAAGAACTTAGTAATGATTAGCTAGGCTCAATTAAATTAATTTCATGTAATTAGGCCTGATCTGCCAGAAATCTGGTTACCCCGGAATCGATCCCTGTTCCCTTCGTCATTAATTAGAAAGAACCACCTAGTTTAATTGTTCGCATTAGTTTTATTTTCCAAACCAACCAATCTCGCATGACGCTTTTATTTTATTTTCTTTTTAATCGCTGAATTTAATTTATTCTTGATTCCCTTTTGTCCGTCCCTGTGGAGACGATACTCGTACTTACACCACTATATTACGATCTATTTTAAGTGCGAGAAAACACACATCAGTTTTTGGCGCCGTTGCCGGGGACGGTGTCGGTTTTAAGGGTTAATTAATTTTAGCGAGATTTTTTTTTTAGTTAGTTTTCTTTTTGTTTTCCGTAGGATTTTTCTGTGCTAACCTTTCAGGTAATTTCTATGAGGCATGAGATGAACCTATGCAGCCAAATTCCTGGAGGAATTCCTTACCCTCAAACCTCCATGGAATATTCACCATATACGCCATACCCTTCTTACACTCCTCCTCCTCCTCCTACTCAATATTACTCACCTCATCAAAATTATTCTCCAACACCACAAAAGTTTCCATCTTCCTATTCTTACCCTCTTCCAAATACGCAATACTCTCAATCTCATTCTCCTAATCAATATCCTTATCCACAATATCCTCGGACAAAACCAGGCTCCATTATGGAATTTCTCATTCAAACTAAAAGTCCCGAGGAATTGGTTGATTGCTTTCCTAAAAATAGCATTTGTAACTTCTGTGGAGGTGGTCACCATTCATGTCTTTGCCTCATTCCTCCATACGACCATCCTTACTGGGCAACTGCATACCCCACTTCTTCCTCCCCACAATTTACGGACACAAATGTTTCAGTCACTCCTACATACTTCCCGAGTAATGAGCCTCATAATCAACAAGAGGATCTGGAGGAGGCAGATTTAAAGAGAATTTCTAGCTTGGAAGAAGTACTCAACAAATTAGCACAAAATCAGCTGAGAGCAGACTCAAGGATGCAAATGATGGAGACAAGGATGCAGAACATGGAGAATCAATTGGGGCAGATTGCAGAGGCTTTATCTGAGGAGTCCGAGAGATCCCGTCCTAGCGACACAGAAGCCCAACCTGAGGAGACCGATAGGGATGATCATATGAGTGAGTCGGACTGTGAAGGTGGAAATCTGATGGATGATACCCTCCTAGATGCTTTTGAAGACCCTGATGAGAACAGTGTTAACGAGAGTTGGGATGCCTTCATGGGGAGTGATACAGAGTCCGGAGGAGAGGTTGTGAATGTTCATGATATTTGTGAGGAAGAAGAAGACTTTTCTATGGTGCAGTTTGATTACGGTGTTGCTCCTACTCCTTGCTTTGAGACATCTTTTGAGCTTCCGGTGATACCCAGAGTAATCAAAGTTTTCACTCATGTTTTCTGTCCACCTGAAGAGGATGAGAGTTTCATACTTCACTTCTGTGCTGATAAGGGTTATGAAGACCATGTGCTGCCTTCGTGGGCTGACGAATTTAAAGATCCGCGACACCTAATGACATTTGTTGAGAGGAAACTGGAGACGTTGACTATGAGTGCACCACTACAGTATTTGCAATTTGAGAGCTTATGAGGTATCGTCGGGCACACGACGTTAAAAATAGCGCTTCTCGGGAGGCAACCCGAGTTTTTTTTTTTCTGCTTTTGTTTTTGCTTTTGCTTTGTTTGTTGTTTGGTTGTTTTGCTTTGTGTTTTGTTTTTGCAGCTCAGGGTCTTGCTTTGGAGATGATGTGTCGAGGATCACTTGACTCAGTTTAGTTCTGCACCGACCAGCGCCTTAGGGAAGTTTCTGCAACTCTTTTAATCGCCTGTTTGTAATA